TAAAAGTGACGAGTAAAAAGATAAAATTGTTTTGATTTTAAAAAATAACGAGTAAAAGTACAAGTACTTTAAGCAAAAGAGACGAAGTAAAAAGTAAAAAGTTTTGATTTTAAAAAATAACGAGTAAAAATACAAGTACTTTAAGCAAAGGAGACGAAATAGAAAGTTTTGATTTTAAAAAGTAACGAATACATGTACTTTAAGAAAAAGTAATGAGTGAAAAGTTTTGATTTTAAAAGTGACGAGTAAAAAGAAAAAAGTTTTGATTTTAAAAATAAAAAAGTAAAAATTTTAAACTACATTTCGAGGAAATCGAAAATTCCAAGTAACCTTAAATTTCATTAAAAACATGCAAGAAAAATGCAATTTAAATTGCATTGCATTTTAATTAAAATGCATGAAAATAATGGTTAATGCATGAAAATAATGCATGAAAATGTTATAAAATTCATTGAAATAGTGAGCGTTGAAAATATCCAGGAACAAAACCAGAAACAAAGAATCATTGTTTGCATATAAGAGTTAGTTTATTAATTTTAAAGCTACAAATAATTAGGAATTTTGTTTTTACTTTTGAAATTCGTAGTATTAAATTAATATATTGAATTAATTTGATAAATATTATATTTTTGTTTAAAAAAAATAAGTAAGAAAAGTATTCAGGTAATCAGTTATTCTATTCAGGCAATCAATTGAATTAAAAATTAGATTACGTTTTTTAAAAAGTTAAAAATATAATTTTTAATATTGATGATTTATTAATTTGCGATTTATATTTTCCATATTGAATTCATCAACAAAAATTGAGCATTGAAGTTTTATTTTTAAAATTTGTTTATATGATGATCGAAAGAAAACGAAGAAAAAAAATTGCTATTCAAAATCGAAGAATTTTTTTTTTACAGAAAGATCAAGGAATTTCTCTGAAATTTCTTTGCATTGCTTACTATATTTTAATTAAATGAAGTACAACTTTTATATTTTGAAACTTGAATGCTAAAAAATCAAGTAATACTCTTGATATAAATTTATATTAATATCAACAACGGGCCGCTTGATTGAAATAATTCTAAGAATAGGAAATAATTGGTTCTGGTTCTGTCAGAAATAAAGTAAAGACGAATAATTTGTTATTTTTCGAGATTGTCCGAGGGTTGTTATTTATATTTCTGTCCTAATAATGAAAAAACAAATATGTAGGATCGAAATTGGTTCTATTGTTTTTCAAAATATTCTTCATGATGATCAGTACACTTTTGCATGCGTTTGAACCAATTTTCAACTTTTTCCAGTCCGACTGAGGTAACTCCAAAACATGCGTTTTGAATACATCAACCGCTTCTTCGGGGGTCGAAAATCGTTGTCCACGTAATTTATTTTTGATGTGTGGGAATAAGAAGAAGTCATTGGGTGCCAAATCAGGGCTGTACGGCGGATGACCCATCAGTTCGATCTTTCGCTCCGTCAGAAATGCCTTTGTTTGAGTCGATGTGTGAGAGCTCGCATTGTCATGATGAAGAATGATTCGCCTGTTCTTCTGCTTTTTTCGAATTTCTCCGATGACTTCTGGCAAACAAATGGTCGTGTACCATTCAGAATTGACCGTCCTGCGTTGCTCTAACGCCACTGTTGCCACATGACCGTTAATGCCGAAGAAACAGGCAATCATTTGTTTCGATGTGCTTCTTCCTCGAACAACTTTTGTTGGTTTTGCCTCGTCTTGGAAGACCCATACAGTTGATTGCTGTTTTGTTTCCGGCTCATATGCATAGATCCATGATTCGTCACCTGTGTAGATGTTATACACAGCCTTTGATGTACCTTGAACGTATTTTTCCAACATTTCCTTGCACCAATCGACACGAGCCTTTTTTTGAGCGTTTGTCAGATTATGCGGGATCCAACGCGAACAAATTTTTTTTACGCTCAAATGTTCATGCAATATTTTATTGATGCTAGTCATACTAATGTCCAAAGACGCCTCTATCTCACGGTATGTCACATGACGATCTTGCTTTATCAGTTCACGCACAGCATCGATCTTTTCTGGCACAACAACGGATTTTGGACGACCTGCACGGGATTCGTCCTGGATCGAACATCGACCACGATTAAATTCGTTATACCAATTTTTTACAGTGCTGTAGGATGGCGCTTTATCGCTGAATAAAGAATTAAGTTCATCGAAGCACTCTTGTAATCAATTATTTAACTACACATTATGAAAAATAATGGCACGAAAATGTTCACGATTCAATTCCATTTTTTGAAAGAGAAGAATTTTTCAACTGTCAACAACACAAAAGAAGCTATAATGGCAAATCGTCTGCTGAATTTATGTTTAAAAATATCAAACTTTCGATTAAAATCGTCTGCGGTCGCCTAGCAACACTTACTGTTGCCAAGGCCAGAAATATAAATACCAACCCTCGTATATAAAATACAACTACAAAACTAGTTCAAAATTGATATTTATTTATAATGTTTTTATTATTTTTTATTTATTTTTTCTTATCTTCAGTCACAAAAATACGTGACTGCTAAAAATTATAATTTTACTGCAATTAGTTTTTCCTTTACATTTAAAAATCCAAAAAAAAAAGGTCAAAACAAACTATTTAAATACTCTGAAACTAATTCAAAATTTAAGCAAACTGAGAAGAATCATTCTTTTTCAGAAACTATAACAGTGCTTACTAACTTCAAAGATCGTCAGATAATCTAAACGAAATATTAAGAAAATGTTAAAATGACTGTCGTTTTGCGAGATCATTTTTTTTAATGACGTTCATAAATTCTTTAAGCACTTAGACTAATATGTTTTAGTTTTTAAAAATATTTAAACTTTTGAAAAGAATAATTTTTCCAGCCTCAAGTCTTAAAGTGAAGTAGATCTCAATATTTTTTAAATATTATAATTATTTAAATTATCTAAAGCAAATTAAAAATTAGGAAAATCTGAAAATTTAGAATTTCTTCTTAGCCCGCAACTTTGACCTTGATCACACCCAAAAAAATTCCCTAAAATTTAAAAATTGAGTGATGCTGTCCTAAGTAAGTTTTTACAGAACTTCTTTAACATAAAAGACTCAAATAATTCCACTATTCAAATTTTATTGATAACGCAATGTTAAACTATCAATACATACATGAGTTACATAATTATACAACTAAGATATACATGAATTATTAATACATATGACATATAAAAAAAGCACATAAGTATTTTCTTAATTTAACGAAAAAGGGACTAGATGGCAAAGTATTTTTTAGTGATGAGCGCAAGCAAAATACTCACATCAGGAGGGCCAAAAAATTTGGTGCTGCTCCTGGTGACTTCAATCGAAGCTCAAGGTTGTCCATCTCTGTGGTTTCTGATTAACAATTAAGAAAAAGAACCCCCCGAAAGTTTCCACAGGAAGAAATTTGGGTCTGAAATTCGGAAAAATGACCCTGTTGGCCCCCAAGCTATAGGAGAGAAAATTTGAAGCTCCGAAAGTCCGGCAACACTTTTTCTGAAGTAATAAAGATAAGATCGAATGACGTTTGAATTAAAAGTATTTTCCCATTGGTCAGCAAAGGGACATACGTCACCTCTGAAGGGAATGATTTTGTTGCAGTTTCCGCCTTGAAATTCAGTGCAGAACCAGTTATCCGGAAATCAGAAAACCGGAAAACCAAAAAACTGGAACGAAATTCGAGAATTTTCCCGCCATTTTTTTTTTAAAAAAAAAAATTTTTCTTTATAAGATTTTAGGATTTTTCTTCTTTTTTGAAAGATGTTTACCTTACCATCATTTTGGGAATAATCATTAGTGTATTACTTTATCGTTTTTTCTTCTTTTTAAGATTATTTCCAACTATTTTCGTTTTTTTAGTTGGGTTTAACAATAAAAAAACGGCTTTTTGTATCGATTCAGAAAACCGGAAAAACCAGTTATCCGGAATCGCGATGGTCCCGATCGTTCCGGATAATCGATTCCCTACTGTAATGACTTTTTTTTTATTCTTTCTTTTTTCTTTAAAACCGAGAACTGAAGGGTTCTATCAGAACATTTTGTTTCTGATAGAAACAAAATTAATTAAGCACGTGGGGATGGTTGTTATTTACTAGGAATTTGCCATCGGTTATGCTATGAACTTCAACCTCTTTGCACCCCCCGTTGTGGTCAGTTGTAAGAAAAGGAAAATAAAAAACTATCTTCCTTAGAGAGAAAGAAAATATAATACATTAAATTTATATCTTAAAAGGGAAATAATTTCTTACAATTCTTAAAAAAAAATTGTTGTGGAGGAAAATTAAATAAAAAAAAATTATAAAAATATTCTTTTGAAATTCGACGATTTCTTTTGACATTTTCGTTACAAATACTTGCATTTTTATTAAGTAAAAGTACTGAATTTAAAAAGTAACGAAGTACAAGTAAAAGTACTTTTCACTTTATTACTTTCGTTACAAAAAACGAAAGTTTAAAGTATTGCCATGGTAGTGAAATATCAGAATAGGAAATATTTGTCTGGTAATGAAATACCAATAGGAAATATTTTAAAATAGCATTGAGTTTATCGATTTCGCTAAATATTATTCGCTCTCTTATATATACAAAAACCGCAAATGTAATCTTGATAAGCAAAATAGTCAAATCATTCTTTAAAATTTTATCCTGAGATACAATGCAATTTAATTTTAAACAAAGGAAAACATCACGAATCTATTTTACATTAACATTTCTATTTTTACTTTATTCTATTAAAGTGATAAATTTGCTGCGTTTGCAAAGCTAAACATTTTTCGTAAAATTGTAGAAAGTGGTTTTCACTGATGGTAAAAAATAATGAGCAAGAATTGACGTATACGACAATGATGACACATTTACATTTGACATCAACTCTAGATTCTCTAAAGATATCCGTAAATTCTGACGATATTTATGGATACTGTGTAGCATCGTTATGCAACTCTCTTTTAAAGATTTTATAAATAGTTTTACATTCTTGTAATTCCTTCTTTTCATTCTTGTATTGTCAGACGAAACTTCATTCTTCGCATTCACTGACACGAGAGTGGTGAATGTTTTGTGAGTATTAATATTTTTTTTTTATCGAAGATTTGTTTATAAATACATCATAAGTAGATTTACTGGCTAAATGTTTAATTGCAGTGTTGAAAACAGTGCTCAAAATCTCTAACATTTGAGGTTTTACAGAAGTTATTTTTTCCAGTTTTGATGCACTTAAGTAGATATTGCGAAAAGGAATTGCATCTATTAAAACGTATTTAAAACTTTAGTACATGGTACAATCAGTATTCAGTACGGTCTAAAAGAACATATTTGAAACTTCAGTACATAGCTACGAAAATTTGTGATCTTTTATATGTCTTCAAAGATGCTAATTTGCTCCGGACAGCAAATCTTCTAGTCTTTTAATGTATGATTCTTGGTTTAGCAAATTCAATTAATAGGGTTCTTACTTATCGCTTCTTCTAAATAATTCAAAGGCATATAATGGTACTCCAGTTTTTTTTTTTAACATTTAGGCCGTGTTGATCCTTTCAAAAAGTTTGCAAAATTAGCCGAAAATTTACGAATTTCAGTTTGTAGTTCTCTGCCGTTTTATAAAAATATTTTGTCAATTCTGGAGTAGATGGCATCTCTGGGTCTATTTTAATTATTTCTATGTAGTGGTGGACGAAATCTTTTTTATTAAATTTTAAAGGGCTTCCAACTTTCTACGCTTTATAAGAAAACTTCTTCTAATGGTAGCTAAGTTTATAATTTAATACATTATTCTTTTTTAAGAAAATTTTCCCTATCACTGCATATAAATGACTTTAAAGTTCATGTAAAACGCTAAGTTCCAGCTGTTGCTTTAAACATATAGGCAACGTTACCGAAAATTCTAAGGGCTTCAATATTTTATTGTCTAAGAGAGTCTTCTATAAAATTTTTTACGAAAAGAGTAGAAGTTTGCAGTCCTGAATGATTTATTAAAATATAACACATATTTTATGATATACGTGGATAATCATTTAATAGGAAAAATATCTTCTAAACGTACTCAAATCCTATAGTTATTTGAGGCATATGCAGTAGAGATATGACGTAACAGGCATCTTTTTAATAACAGGTCACAGTTGTTACCGTGCAGAATCATACCTCTTAATAACAGGTCTTTGTCAATTGTTTTTTATCAATTGTTTTTTATTTGAGATATTCGACGGAATCTTTTTTATTCGTAACTAATACATATTCTTCTCTTATTTATTTATATGTATTTTATCACCTTTTTATGGGTCAAAAATTAAGTGAAAATATTTTTCAAATTAATTTTGTCAATATTAGGAAGGCAACTAAAATATATTTATTTCCCTATTATTTTTTTAGTACTTTAGATAAATTGTTTTGATTATGTCTCAGATAAGTAGATGATATTTGAAAGATAAGTAGATGAAAATTTGAAAGATAAAATTCCTAAGTATTTTATAATGATCGAAAAGTTTTGAAAAACGTTTTCGTTAGAGTGTGAAATAGTGAACAAATAGTGAATAATGATAAAAATAATAATTTTAAAAAAAACTTAACCATTTTCACTGCGAAATAAAGTATGTAAAAAAATTCTTTTACCAAAATTTGAATCTTTTTACCAAACCTTAAATAATTTAGGAAGCTTACGGAATTTAAGACATTGATTTCTGAGCATACTATACAATATTACGATTTATTATTTTTAAAGAAAAGAAAATTAGAAGCTACGCATTGCATTTTGTATATGTAAGGATCTATGTAATATATATATATATATATATATATAGTGAATTCGCGATAACTCGAATCTGATAGGACTGACGAAAAACTTCGACATATCGGAAGTTCGATTTACCGTTAGTTTCGGTTTTGGACTTTCAAAATATTGTCGGATTATTTAATTAATGCTTATTAATTA